ATAACAACAATCCAACTGAAAGTTCAGGAGAGGTCCTAAATAAAAGGACACTCAGATCAGAAAAACCGGTGAAGTAGGTGTTTATACTTACACAAGTATTCAAACGATGTGCCACTTGAAGTCATATGTTCATCTGTTTCTGAATCTATGCCCTCCCAATCTATCTAAAGCCCCTTGCATCAGGAACCCACCAGAACAAAAGCACTATTCGCCAAAGGTGATGTAACAAAGTCAAAATATTCATTATAGGAAAAATATTTGAGTGTAGGGAATTTCTCATAATAGCCTTTAAATCATGTGCCTGACCATACTGGATGGCAGACATTATTTTCATAAACATTAATTTTACTCATCTTTATATCCTGTAATTACATACAGAAATATCCATATACATTGGATGAATGTCCTAGGACCAAGATTGAAGAGGACTAAGAAGTGAAAATCAAATCAACCAATCCTAAAGGAAATCAACCTTGAATATTCATTGGAAGAAGTGACGCTGAAGCTGAAGCTCCAATACACTGGCCACCTGATGAGAAGACCGGGATCGTTGGAAAAGACTCAGATGCTGGGAAAGATTGAAGGCAAGAGAAGAAGAGGGCAGCAGAGTATGAGATGGTAGAATAGCATCACTGACTATGAATCTGAGCAAAGTATGGGAGATAGTGAAGGACAGGGAAACCTAGCGTGTCGCAGTCCATGGGGTCACAAAGAGTTGGACTTGATTTAGTGGCTGAATAACAACAGAGAAATGGAAGCAAATGAATGTAAGACTTGAGGGGTCCTAGAGAAAGAGATTAGATGTTAGAAATAGAAAGAGTGTGAAAGTCCATGGCCGTTACCAAGCACACTTCCTGGGTTATTTTTCTGATCTCTCCTTTTGCTATCTGTGAATAACTTGCCCATGCATTGTCTTTCTTAGAATCTGGGAGGTTCTTCCTTATCTGTGTTCCTCAGTGGTCTAGTCTGAAGTCCATGATGGAGAAATTTCTCATAGGGGCTGGTGCAGGCATAGGACAAAGAGTAACTGAGAACTAAACAGTCATGTCTTTGTAAAGATCTGTAATTTCTGTGGCAATACAACTATCTCAAGTTTTGGCAGCCTTCATGTCTATTTGCTTTCAATGCACTCTACATGAAGTTAATCATACATGTAGTTTTGAAAATTGACGACTCACCTCTTTTATTCACTGGGACTCTTGTTTGCACATCTCTCTCCCCCTCAGTTTAATGGCAATTACCTTGAGGCCATGGGAAATAATAGACTTGGAGAACAAGGAGGGCACCCTTAATTAGGTTGGTATCATTGGACTGGCTTGTAGACAATTGTCTCTCTTATATCTTGGGTTACACGTGCAGTTGGCTTTTCCAGTCCTGGAAAGCTGCAAATTATTGGACTCTCAACCATTTTAAGTGGGAGTCCATAGCACAGACAGCAACCTTTAGTGAAATTATATTCTTTTATTTTTCTCAATATTTGGTCAACTCTCACCTCAGCATGTCTCCTGATACCTTGTTAAAAGCATTAAGAAGCAGTCAAGGTATATCAATACTGTGATTTTTTTGCCTACCCTGATAGCAACAGACTTATTAGGCAAAGTTTATGCTCACAAATTCTCAATTTAGCTCCATCAGAAATTCATTTGAACTTGTCCCTCACCCTCATATTCAATTATTTACCATGTCTAACATATTTTAATTTCTAATTACTTCTCAAATGCAATAATAATTTCCTATCTCCCTGTAACCATGTGGACAAGCTGTTTAGAAGACCACTGACTGGAGGCAGAAATCATTTAGAAAATAAATTATTTTTTTGACAGACAAACTATATTCAAATAATAATCAAGGAATGACTATATATCATAAATGTGTGGTTAGTAAAAAATACATCTGCATTAGTTATTTCCCAAGGCTGATATTCAGCTATATGAAATAGAAGAATATACTAATTTGCAAAAAATATATTCTTAAATGGGTAGATTCTGTAATTTCTTTTATTTAGATTCTAAGTATGTTTACTAATGTCTTCCTGTATGAGCTACAGCAATGAAGATAAATAGGGTTTTCTCTCTGGTCTTTAGGACATAAACACTGATTCGTTCATTTAACAAATATTTACTCCTGTGTATTGTTTGTTGCATCCTGAGACTACATTAGGAAAGACAGATACAGAGACAGAGTCTGATAGAAAGATGGACTTTAAAGTGATGAAAACCCATGTGAATTTATAATTATAAAATCAGAACTGTGTTATTTAAAACAGACGATGCTTTACATGAAGGGACAAAGCAGAGAGATCTTTATCAGACTGGGTTATCAGAGGGGACTTCTCCAAGAGACTGTTATTTAAAGTACTTTATCTGTTTATTTAACTTCACATTCTTGTATTTTATGGACATGCTTTTGGAATTCATTTATTAGAAATAAGCAAATGAGATATGTTCTAAACAGGTTAAACAGAAGTTTCAGGTTAACCACTTAACCTAAAAATTTCAGATGAGTCCTAAAATATCAGGAACTTCTTTCAAAATATTTTCATAATCCAAACAACTGAAAGCAACTTTTATGATTTTTCATTATAGTTTTCTCTCTGCTTCTTTATTTCCTCACCCCTAACCAAGTGAAATCCTATTGTTCTGTGTAATATTTCAGACATCACATCACTCCTCTGCTCAAAGCCCTCTAACACTTTACTTTGAACTCAGAGTCAACCCGAATCCCTTCTTCTGGGCTACAAGACCTCATGTATGATTTGTGTCCATCTCCCTCCAATTATACTGTGCTGTTTCCTCTCATATGCTGCTTGAAGAAATGTGATCAACACTTGGAAAAAGTGTTGAAGGAAGCAATTTGGATGAATATATTAAAATTAAAACTATAAAACCACTTTGACCCACTATTTGTCATTTATGGAAATGTAGAAATGCTGGTACTGATTTAATAGAGACTTTGTACATGGAGGTTATTTTTAACTGGAGGACAATTGTTTTACAAGGTTGTGGAGGTCTCTGCTACACATCGAAGTGAATCAGTCATAATTGTGTATATCATCCCTTCCTTCTTGCTCCTCTTTACTCCCCTATTCCACCCCTCCAGGCTGTTACAGAGTGCCAGGCTGGCTCCCTGTGTTATACCTCAGATCTCACTAGTTACCTGTTTTACACATGATAGTATATATATGTCAATGTTACTTTCTCAATTTGTCCCACCCTCTCCTTCCTGCGCTGTGTCCACCAGGCCATTCTCTATGTCTACATCTTCATTTCTTCTCTATAAGTAGGTTCATCAGTACTATTTTTCTAGATTCCTTATACATGCATTGTGTGTATGCATTCGTGTGTGCTAAGTTGCTTCAGTCACATTGGACTCTTTGCGACCTCATGGACTGTGGCCTGCCAGGCTCCTCTGTCCATGGGATTCTCCAAGCAAGAATACTAGAGTGCATTGCCACGCCCTCCTCCAAGGGATCTTCCTGACCCAGGAACTGAACCTGAATCTCATGTCTCCTGCATTGACAGGTGCGTTCTTTACCACTAGAGCCACCAGGAAGCCCTATATATGCCTTTAGTTCAGTTCAGTTCAGTTCAGTTCAGTCGCTCAGTCTTGTCCGAATCTTTGTGACCCCATGGACTATAGTCCGCCGGGCTCCTCTGTCTGTGGGATTCTCCAGGCAAGAATACTGGCGTGGGTTGNATCCTCTGTCGTCCCCTTCTCCTCCTGCCCTCAATCTTTCCCAGCATCAGGGTCTTTTCCAGTGAGTCAGCTCTTCACATCAGTTGGCCAAAGTATTAGAGTTTCAGCTTGAACATCAGTCCTTCCAATGAACACCCAGGACTGATCTCCTTTAGCATGGACTGGTTGGATCTCCTTGCAGCCCAAGGGACTCTCAAGAGTCTTCTCCAACACCATAGATACACTCTATTTGTTGTACATGGAAATTTAATGCAGAAGTTCTTTGTTACAGTAAAAATCAGTTAACAAACCCTGAAAACAACCTTAATGTTCATCAGTTTGTGAAAGACCCTGGAAAGTCATTTTAAGGAAACCTTTGTTGCCAACTACTAAGACATATTTGGTATTGATTTTATTTTTTTTTTGGTTTTTTAAATTTTTTAAATAAAATAAACAGGAATCATTTTAATTCTACTGTAGAAGAATTATCATGAATTATTTAAGATTTAATTGCATCAGGATAAATTAGGCTTCCATGTGGTTTAAATACAACAGATCTTTGCAAAGCTAAATAAGCTTACTGACCACTGAACCTTTTACATTAATAGTTTAATTTTCACATTACCAACTGTTCTAATGGCTTATATAACCATTGACTGTTTTCTTCAAAATCATTTAAAATGACTGAAACACAAAAGTTTTCAAAGTCGAGGAAATAAGCAAAATTATATCATTAGAACATTTACCTTCTTCAAAGAAAAAAAAATGTTAATGGCTTGATCGTTTTTGACAGTTCTGCCAGAGTTGAGAAAAATGAATTCACCTGGAATTTTCATTTCAATCTTGCCAGCAAGTACTGCAATACTTGGAAACTATTCACCAGCCTTACAGTCACATCTAACATCTTCATTAGTCTGGGTTGAAGGGTTGCTGTCTCAACTCTGGGTAAGAGGTTCCTCAGGGCTAACCAAGAGGTACACCAGCTCCTCAGCAGCTCTCGGACCCCAACCGAGCGGACAATGAAGCGAGCCCAGCCCATCTGCATTCATTCTGATTTGCAACAAATAAGACAAGACCTGAAAGGGAAGATGATGGAAAACTAAGAGCCTCCCGCTCCCTTGGGGATCTTGCCAGCAAGCTCGTGATGCTGAGACACACACAGATCCACATCTTCCATGCAGCCCTTGCTTACTGTATTTTTAATTTTGATTAAAAAAAAAAAAAGACGTGATTACACAGAAAACATCATCCGTCACAGAACCATAAACTGAGCCAGTGTAGTGGGAAACACGCGTCACCGCCCCTTCGGGTGCCCTCCTACCACTGACTCCCCTGGACGGAGCTCAGGAGCGGTAGTACTCAAGCAGCTTCGCATGCGTAGGTTTCAGAATCCTCTTGTCTGCCATGTTCACCACCCATCCTGGAGCCAGACCCAAGAAAATCTGCTGTGGATCCTTCCGAGTACTGAGCATTTTGAAGGGTTCATCTTTCTTGATGTCGGGTAAAATACAGCCGTACTTCTTGGCGAGCTCCAGTCTTGCTTCGGGAAATCCGGCGGGATCCGCCAGGTAGCCTCGGTTTCTCGCCTCAGTGTAGTAGGGCACTAGTGCCTCGAGGGGGAGCATCCGCTTGGGAATGGGTTGCCCGCGGAGAAAGAATGGGATGGGTTTGCGCAGAATTTCCAGGCTTCGCGTGTCGTAGAAGGCGGTCGTGACGACACCCCCATTCCTCTCGATGGCGGCGATGGCCAGCTCAGAAGCTAGCTGAACTTCGATGTTAACTTTTGCCTTAAAGGTGTCAGCGCCCTCCTCTACCAGCTGGACTCCATAGTCCCTTTTAGATGGCTGGATGGTAACACCTCACCCATTGACCAGCTGGGTTAAGTCAGTAGGTTGTGTGGGATCAACACGGCCCAAGTCAATCAGGTACTGAAGCCTGTTGAGACTCAAAGGCTGATACTGGCGTCTGAAGCTGTGTCCATTAAACCCGTATTTTGGGATTCGAAGGTAAAATGGAGTCTGGCCTCCTTCAAAGCCCAGCCGGGGCCGGGTTCCTCTCTGACGTTCTCCCTTGTGGCCCCTGCCACACTTCCTACCTCTTCTCTGACCTCTTCGTCGTCTTTCCGGTTTCCTGGAGCCCGTGTTTGGCCTCAAGTTAGCCAGGCTTACACGAGGCAGAGCCCGAAGCAGGTCCAGGGCCCCAGGCCCTGCGCCCGGCACCTGGCCAGCCATGACTCGCTTGCATGAGATGCCGCAAGAGCGCCAGGCATCCAGACCCTGGTATTGATTTTAGAATGCATTTTTTTCAGGTATCTGGGAATAAATTTGTCAGGGCAAAGATCCGATGCTATATGGTAGAGTGGAGTTATCACAGTGGAGATGAGAAAATGTCTCTGGTTGGTTCATATCAACTAGACATATGGTTTTCTTCCTCTTTCTGAGTCTCCCTGTGAGCCAACCTGAGTGTGAGCTAGTGAAGAGGGTAATATTCATCCAAGCTTGAGCCTGAGAAGAAAAGACATGGAGAGAAAGATGAGAGAAGGAAGACAAAAATCTTAAGAAATAACCTGAGTCAAAGAAAGTTGGCTGAGTAAGAGAGACATGCTTCAAAGCAGCTTAAATATATTATCCTTTATTAAGAAAAGACCCTGATGCTGGGAAAGACTGAAGGCAGAAGGAGAAGAGGGCAACAGAGGGTGAGATGGTTGGATGGCATCACTGACTCAATGAACATGAACTTGGGCAAACTCTGGAAGATGATGAGAGATGGGGAAGCCTGGTGTGCTGCAGTCCGTGGGATCTTGAAGAGTCAGACGCGACTTGGTGGCTCAACAACAACATATTAAGAAATGCGGAAGGAAAGAAGAAAGTAAAACATGGTTTAAAGTTTTTTGTGTGGTAAATCATGGATAGCTAGATGAAACCAGGATTACAGTTTGGATGAAATATAAATGGAGTAGCTTATGTGTAAGTATATAGTTAGCTAATATAGTAAATTTATTACCAGTAACTTGTTCTTTTCTTCATAAATTTGAATATGTAAAATGAAGTTTTTATTTGGGCATTCAGCTACTGATCCTGGCTAAGGGTTGTACATCATCAAATTTGATAATGCATAGTGACAGGGTACATAGTAAGATTAAAATTGGAGTTTAGAAAACTATCATAGCAATTCTGTAGATAAATAAAGGGCAGATGGATGGAAGAGCCTTATTTTTCTGTGAGTTCAACTTAGTGTTTAGAAAATCAGGTCAGAATAGTAGCTCAGAGAGACTGATTTTTGCAGCGGAGTTCTCTGTCAGCTTTGTTTGGAGGCTGCTAGAGCCTTCTGACAATATTTGTGCTGACAGTTTTCAAAGGCTTCAGCTGAAGCCTTTTTTTTTTTAAGCTGGGAAAGTTCAACTCTCTCTAGACTTTTCAAAAGTTAGCCTCATCTGTGCTTACAGATATACCTCTGTATTCCACAACTGAGTTTTCAGTGTAGTTTTTAAGAAATAACCACTTATTCATGGCTGTTTTTAGAACTTCAAAGTGAAGGATGACAAGTTTCTTTTTAATTAGCAATATTGTTAAATATATTAACATAGTTTAGAATTGAAAGCACAAAAAAATAACTCAAAGATGATTCATTAGCCAATTATGGAAAGTACTAACTTCCATTCTGGAACTAGCTTTATTGATGCAAAAAATTGATTTAGAATGTATGCTTTTTGAAAAATAAAATACTTAGGGCAGTATTGCATTAATATGGTGAAAGAAAATTATCTCTGGTTGCAGATGACATGATCTTATAGGTAGAAAATCTTAAAGACTCCACAAAACAAAAGCAAAGTGTCATAATTAATAAACAAATTCAGTAATGTTGCAGGGTACAAAATCAATATACAAAAATCAGTTGATTTCTGTACATTAACAGCAAATTATCTGGAAAAAATTTAAATATGGATAAAATTAAACAAGGAGTGAAAGATTTGTGCACTGAAAATTATAAAACGTTTATGAAAGAAAAGTTTAAAAGATAAATGGAAAGATATCCCATGTTCATAGACTTAAATAATTAGTATTAGTAAAGTGTCCATTCATCCATAGATTCAATGCAATTCTTATCCAAATCTCAATGGCATTTTCTATAGAAATAAAAAAAGAAAGCCTAAAACTCACATGAAACTACAAGATACCATGGATAGTTAAAACAACGTTGAGACAGAGCAAAGCTGGAGGCATCACACATCCTGATTTCAAAACATGCTGCAAAACTACAGTAATTTAAAACAGTACTTTACTGGCATAAAGACAAACATATAAACCAATGGAGCATCTGGATGGTCTAGAGCCATTTCACTGTCAAAAAAAAAAAAAATTCTGGGCATAAAATAAAGAAATCAATCAGTTCAATCTCTCAGTTGTGTCCAACTCTGTGACCCCATGGATTGCAGCATGTCAGGCCTCCCTGTCCATCACCAACTCCCAGAGATTACTCAAACTCATGTCTGTTGAGTCAGTGATGCCATCCAACCATCTCATCCTCTGTCATCCGCTTCTCCTCCTGCCTTCAATCTTTCCCAGCATCAGGGTCTTTTCAAATGAGTCAGGTCTTCGCATCAAGTGGCCAAAGTATTGGAGTTTCAGCTTCAACATCAGTCCTTCCAATGAACATTCAGGACTGATTTCCTTTAGGATGGACTGGTTGGATCTCCTTGCAGTCTAAGGGACTCTCAAGAGTCCCTTTTGAACACCACAGTTCAAAAGCATCAGTTCTTTGGCACTTAGCTTTCTTTATAGTCCAACTCTCACATCCATGCATGGCTACTGGAAAAACTATAGCCTTGACTAGATGGACCTTTATTGGCAAAGTAATGTCTCTGCTTTTTAACATTCTCTCTAGCTTTTCTACCAAGGAGTAAGCGTCTTTTTATTTCATGGCTGCAGTCTCCATTTGCGGTGATTTTGGAGTCCCCCAAAATAAAGTCTGCCACTGTTTCCACTGTTTCTCCATCTATTTGCCATGAAGTGATGGGACCAGATGCCATGATCTTAGTTTTCTGAATGTTGAGCTTTAAGCCAACTTTTTCACTCTCCTCTTTCACTTTCATCAAGAGGCTCTTTAGTTCTTCTTCACTTTCTGCCATAAGGGTGGTGTCATCTGCATATCTGAGGTTATTGATATTTCTCCCGGCAATCTTGATTCCAGCTTGTGCTTCTTCCAGCCCAGCGTTTCTCATGATGTACTCTGCATATAAGTTAAATAAGCAGGGTGACAATATACAGCCTTGACGTACTCCTTTTCCTATTTGGAACCAGTCTGTTGTTCCATGTCCAGTTCTAACTGTTGCTTCCTGACCTGCATACAGATTTCTCAAGAGGCAGGTCAGGTGGTCTGGTATTCCCATCTCTTGAAGAATTTTCCAATTTGTTGTGATCCACACAGTCAAAGGCTTTGGCATAGTCAATAAAGCAGAGAAAGAAACTATTAAAGGGAGGAAATTAGTCAATTCTAGCAAAACCAGTATAAAAATATCCTGCATGTATTACAGAAGGAAAGAAACCAATTTAAACCAAGTTAAAAATAAGCTTGGATTTTCAGAAATCCAGCTGAACCCTCTTGAAAAGAATAAGACAATGGCACAGGGAATTAGTGTGAGAAGCACATTCCATTACTGTAGAAAAAAAGCAACATAAAGTAATTTATGTTTCAGTGTTTGGAAGATTCAAAAATTGGATAAAATACCTCATGGATTGTAACACCTCTGTCCATGGAATTCTCCAGGCAAGTATACTGGAGTGGGTTGCCATTTCCTTCTCCAGGGGATCTTCCCGACCAACAGACCGAACTGGGGTCTCCTGCATTGCTGGCAGATTCTTTACCATCTGGGCCACCAGGGAAGCCCAAGAAAAAAATCAACATCAAGTAACTTATGTTTCAATGTTTGGAAGATTCAAAAATTGGATAAAAACAGGCATATTGAAGAGAACATGCACAATTAGTGGTTCTTACAGGTTCCTTTTGGCAAAGGTTTCAAAAGCATCAAATAACAGCTGCAGATCATTAATCTGAAGGTAGTTTTCCAACTAAGGGGTTGAAGAAGCATCATTACGAGGAGGTAGTTCTTGTAGAATTCAAGTTTCCCTGTAATAAGGCAGTAGAACTAGCCACTGTGCCCCAGGAATTTGAAAGTTTGCTCAGAAAATTAATAGATCCCATCTCAGATAGACATGAGCCAAGGTGCAACATTGGATCAGAAAAATGTGAGTCAGGGGAGAAATAGAAATTTCTGCCTTTGGTTGTAAAATGGAGATGCTTCAAATATGATCTACTGGTGTCCTCTTTTCATTAGAATTTTCTAGATCTCTAAGACGCTAGTAGAATTTCAATGCCAAAGTATGAGATAGGATATAGATGTATATTTAAGTCAAACTTTTCTGCAGATGCCACATTTACATATAAGGAAAAACAATGCTTTGCAGGGTTGTTGCTTTCAAACAAATGTGAATTTATAGGCCATGGATTCTGAATAACAGAAATGGACTCGTTATCCTTCTGGCCTTGGTGATTCCATGAAGATGATCTCTGTAGATTCTGTGTCTCCTGAGTCTCCTGATTTTCCAACTAAAACAACTTGATCTCCTTCAAGTTTCTGCTGTGGATTTTGGTAACACTGTGTGGGAATATAACTTTCCTGGAATTACTGCTACGAAGTCTAATGATTGTCCTGTTTTCCAAATTTTATGGGGATGGAGACAGCAAATTGAATATTGGGCATTGTATGAACCCTTTCAGGGTTCTGCTGTGGATTTTGGTAACACTGTGTGGGAATATAACTTTCCTGGAATTACTGCTATGAAGTCTAATGATTGTCCTGTTTTCCAAATTTTATGGGGATGGAGACAGCACATTGAATATTGGGAATTGTATGAACCCTTTCAGGGCTTCCCCGATGACTCAGCAGGTAAAGAATCCACCTGCAATGCAGGAGACACAGGAGATGATGGCTCAATACCCGGATTGGGAAGATCCCCTGGAGGAGGAAATGGCAACCCATTCCAGTATTCTTATCTGGAAAATCCCATGGATGGAGAAGCCTGGCGGGCTACAGTCCATGGGGTCGCAAAGAGTTGGACACTAATGAGCGACTAAACACACATATACACTTGAACCCTTTTAAACTAATGAAAGTGAAACTCTTGAGAAATTTTTTCACCTCTGAGTTCTTAGGCCCTGAAGGGTTCACACC